GACCCAGGAGCCAGCAGCGCGCCCCTCCCCCTCCCCATCAGGGGGTCAGGGCCTGGACCTTGGGAAGGCCACCCGCACATATCCCTGTCCCCAGAACTCGTCTGTCCTCTGTTCCTGTCTCCTTGTCCTCTCTCCTCCCGACAGGATGCCGTCTTGTGTCGGTCTATCCGCACCCTACCCCAGCCTAGACCCCCTTCTCCACCCTGCACCCCAGCCTTGCCTCCCCCCTCCTCCTGCGCCAGTCGCTCAGGTCTGTCCCCTCCCCATCCTCGCCCCCATCCTTCTCCCCCACCCTCCCGTCGCCCCACCCCCACAGCCCCTCCCCCCTAGGCCTCCCCCCTTCCACACCCCTTCGCTCCTCCCCCTCCCTCCCCGACCTACCCCTCCCCGTTAGTCCTCCTCCACCCCTCCCCCTTCCTCACCCCCTCCCTGTCCACCCCCACCCTGCCCCTTCCTCACCCCTGGCCCCTCTCCCTGTCCCACCCCGCCCCTCCCCACCCCTCGCCCCCTCCCTGTCCCACCCCACCCTCCCCTTCCCCACCCCCTCCCCGTTAGTCCTCCTCCACCCCTCCCCTTCCTCACCCCTCCCTGTCCCACACCACCCTCCCCCTTCCTCACACCCTCTCCCCCTCCTTGTCCCACCCCATCCCTCCCCTGCGACCTCCTCCCCTTTCTCCTTCCCTCCCCCTTCCCTTCTGTCCCTCCCCCTTCCCCGCTACCCCAACCTCCCCTCCGCACCCCTCCATTTCCCCCCTCTCCCCGCCCTCCCCCTTCCTCACTCGCTCTTCACCCCTTCCTTTCTCCCCTCCCTCCTTCTCCGCCCCACCCCACCCCTCCCCTTCGACCTCCTCCCTTCCCCCTCCCCGCCCCTCCCTCTTCCTCCCTCCCCCTTTCTCCCTCCCCTTCCGCCCCTCCCTTTCCCGCTACCCCAACCTCCCCATCCCACCCCTCCCCTTCCCCCTCCACTCCTCACCCCTCCCCCACCCCGCCCCCTTCCCGGGCCTGCCCCTCCCCCTCAGTCTCCTCCCCGCTCCTCCCTCCCCCTCCCTCCCCCGCGGGCCGGGCCGGCAGGGGGCGCAGCGGGGCTCTCGGAGGCCGGAGGCGGGGCGGCGGCGGCCGGGCCGCGATGGGACCGGAGGCGGCGCAGACAAAGGCGGCGGGCGAGCGAGCGCGGCGCGGGTGCGGAGTCGGAGCGCGGTGAGCGGGGCGCGGTTCGGGGACCCCAAGTTCCAAGCTCGGGGCCGGGGGTGGGGGGCGCGGGAGTCCCGAAGTTCCCGAGTCGGGGAGGAGATGGCATGGCGCGGGAGGTCCCCAAAGTCGCTGACTCCTCACTGCAGAACCGCGAAGGGGTCCCCGAAGTTCTGGGGTGCAGGAGCGGCGCGGAGACGGGGGCCCCCGAAGTTCCAGGCCGGGGACTGGAGGATGGCGGGGGGGGTCCCCAGAGTTCAGCGATCGGGAGCAGCGCGGAGGACGACGTCTGCAAAGTTCTGGAGCGGGGGCCACTGGAGGCGGGGCGAGGCGGGGGTCCCCGAAATTGGGACCTGAGGTTGGAGGAAGGAGAGAGGGGGCCCCCCAAGTTGTGCACCCGGACTCGGGGAGCGAGCGTCTTGGGGACCGTGGAAGTTGCGGGTGTGTCCGGAGTTGGGGCGCGCATGAGGTGACCTCACGCGGTGGGGACCCCCCGAGTGGGGTGCACGGGAAGGGGGGTTCCGGGTGGGGGTGTCGGGCCCCCCTCTGGGTCCCCCTTGGCCAGCGGCCGCCCAGCGCATGACTGGCTGGTGAGTAACTTTTCCCGAACGCGGCAGGAGCGGCCGGAAGGGCCTGCATTCCGGGGACCCCGTCACCCCGTCACCCCGTCACCCCGGCTTGGCCCAGGCCCGAGCTGCCGCCCCTCCCCCACTTAGGGGTTCGGGTTTCAGACCTGTGACCGCCACAGCAGCTGCCCAGGACAGGATGGGGGGGACACCACCCCCCCCACCCCGACCTCGGAGTCGCCGGACTTCCCTCCCCTCCCCCATTAGCACTCCCTCGCTTCCAAACTCTGATTTGGGGGTGCATGGGATTAGCAAGTCCCCCACCCACCCGGTGTGGCTGGCTTTTCTGGGCTGGCGGCTGGGGCAACGAACCGGAAGACAGGGAGCCCATTTCTCCCAGTCTTGGACCCTGCTCTGTCCCCCAGTGGCGGACACCAGGCTCGGCTGTCTGTGCATTTGGATTGGGCGCTGAGGGGTCCCTCTGTGGGAATAGTGGGGACCTGGACTCCCAACAGGCACCTGCAAAGCTCCACTTTTTATTTTTAGACATGGGGTGTCGCTCTGTAGCCCAGGAACTCCTGGGCCTCAGCGATCCCCGCGTCTCTGCCTGAGTAGCTGGCAGCAGTGATGGACCGGCTGAGTGCTGTCAATCCTGAGCACAGTTGACCTTGGCCTCCAGGCCCAGTCCCTGGGTGGAGGAGGCACCCATGGGGCCCAGCAATCAGGACGATGACAGATTTCTGTTGGGATGGGACACCCCCCACACGCCCCAGAAAAATAGGCTCCTGCCTGTGCTGCGGAGTGATCTCTTCTGATTGCTGGTTGCTGATTGACTGTGTGACCCCTGCACGTGGCCGTGGGTGCTGACATCCCCTTGCTTGGCCTTCTCAGATACAAGCCCTCTCTCTCCCCAGGGGCCAAACCAGCCTGCCACCGCCGTGGCTGCCCCTAAGGGCCCACCCAGCCCAGCCTGACCAATGTCCACAGCCAGGTGAGAGCTTACACCTACCTGGGCCTGGCCCCAGCCCTGTCCCCACCCCCCGCTGAGTGCCCTGTCCCCATGCAGGGAGCAGCCCATCTTCAGCACACGAGCACACGTGTTTCAGATCGACCCGGCCACCAAGAGGAACTGGATCCCCGCGGGCAAGCACGCGCTCACGGTCTCCTATTTTACGATGCTACCCGGAATGTCTACCGTATCATCAGTATTGGGGGTGCCAAGGTTTGGAAGGGGAAGGAGCGGGAAGATGGGTGTAGGCACCAGAGGAGGAGGGGCTGACGGAGGACATGCCTGGAGCTGGTCTCTGCCTCGGTGGCACGCTGAACCTTTCTGGCTGGTCCCTCACTCCCAGCAGGGACCCTGAGACCCACGGGCAAGGTGGCCTTATCCATTCCGATCTCGGCCGTGATCAAGGTTAAACTTTGCCCCCTCCGCAGGCCATCATCAACAGCACTGTCACCCCCAACATGACCTTCACCAAAACCTCCCAGAAGTTCGGGCAGTGGGCGGACAGTCGCGCCAACACCGTCTATGGCTTGGGCTTTGCCTCTGAGCAGCACCTGACCCAGGTGGGCTGGGGGAGGGGCGGGACTGGGGGAGGGGCGGCCCTGGGTCTTTTGGGCCCTGTGCACCTGAGTCGCTCCAGCTGCAGGGTGGGTACACGGAATTAGATGAGCCTTTCCGCTTCCATGGTTTGGATTCAGGTTCTGGTCACTTGCTCCAAGGTAGGGTTCGAACTCAGGTCCTCACACTTGCTAGGCAGGCGCTCTTACTGCTTGAGCCACCTCAAAATACTGCTTGAGTATTTTTTTTTCCTGAACTGGGGTTTGAACTCCCACCAGCCCTTTTTTTGTGATGGGTGTTTTCGAGATAGGGTCTCTCAAACTACTTGCCCGGACTGGCTTCGAACCGAGATCTTCCTGATCTCTGCCTCCTGAGAAGCTAGGATTACAGGCGGGCGCCACAGCGCCCAACACCACAATTATTTTTAAACAAAGGAAATTTGTTTTAAAATAAAACAGTGCATTCTAGCCCAACTGGAGAAGCGGTCTCGCTTGCCAAAGCTGGGTTGAAAATGGAAACGCTGAGTACCAGGAAGACAGAGGGGCTGCTGTCAAGGGCTGTCAGGTTTAAAAGACACAGTAGCGTCAGCCGGACACGTCCCTGTGAGGACATAATTTCCAGACCTTCCTCCCTTGGTGAGATTAGGATGTGCGCGGTTCTGAAGGTCCCTTCCAAGGTGACAGGGCTGGCAGTGGGTGCAGAGGGGACTGGGGACTGTTGACCATCTGCTCTCCCCCCGCCCTACCCCCAGTTTGCAGAGAAGTTCCAGGAGGTGAAAGAAGCGGCCAGGCTGGCCCGGGAGAAGCCTCAGGATGGGGGCGAGCTCACCAGTCCAGCCCTGGGGCTTATCTCCCACCAGGTCAGCGGTCCCTGTCCCCCACGCCTGGACACCCAAAGTCAGCCAGACACGCATCTGAAATTGGGGGTGGAGGGGTCGCTGCCTGTGCTGGTGCCCAGGGTGAGGTGCTCACAGGTGAGCTAAAATGAGAGCCCAGTACAGACCACAGAGGAAGGTCAGGGGCGTCAATCATAGGGGTCCTGACGTCATGTGACATCACCTGGAGTTAGGCGCCAGTGACAGGACCAGGCAGAGCAACGAACTATCCCTGGATGCTTCTCTCTCTTCAGCAGCATTTATCGAGCACCTTCTGTGTACCAGGCCCAGGGTTGGGCACAGGGTAGGAGACGAGGAAGCAGCTGGCCTCAGGACTCAGAGTCCCGTAAATGACGAGGCTCCCTGAAATGCAAATTGATCCCAGAGAAGACTTCCTGCCCCTGTCTTAAACGTGACAGCTCTCAGTCCCCATCCAGGGACCGTGGGGAGCCAGGGAGGGTGGTGAGCAGCGCAGGAGTCCATCCCAGTGATGGCAAGGGCCTTCCCGGGTCCCAAGGGCAATTCGGACCCCCCGATCTCAGCCACGACCTCAGTAGCCCCTGTGCTGACCTCAGCCTAACCGGTCCTTGAACTAAAGCCACCCGTTCACTGTGACTCCTGACATCGCCCCTCCCCTTCCTCCCTCCACCCCCGTAGGTGCCCCCGAGTCCCCTCGTCAGCGCCAATGGTCCTGGAGAGGAGAAACTCTTCCGCAGCCAGAGCGCGGACGCCCCCGGCCCACCGAGCGTGAACGGCTGAAGAAGATGCTGTCCGAGGGGTGAGTGGGCGGGGCCTGCGGCGCGGGGGCGGGGCCTGGGTGGGCGGGGAGATCGAGCCGCTGGCTGCTGAGTGATGAGTGGGCGTGGTCTGCCCGGTGGGCGGGGCAGGTTGCCCCGTTGACATTTCCGTCCGGGGGCGGGGCCTGGGGAGTGGGCGGGGCAGAGCGAGCTGTGGAGGCTGCCCTGGGGGCGAGGGGGCGGGGCATCCGGAGTGGGTCGGGTGGACGAGGTTCTCAGCAGAGCAGGTGCAGCCCGCACCGGAATCTGACTGTAGACCCAAGACCAGGGGAAGGTGGGGAGGTTGATCCGGTGGTCCTGCCCCATCCAGGTGGGAACTTGCCCCTTGCGCACGAACCCCACTGGCTAGCCACACCTCCCCAGGCTTGACTCCGCCCTGTCCCATCCTCCTCTCCGGGCTAACCCCACCTTGTGCACCTCCACCCCAGATCCAGTTCTCCGCACGCCCCTTATGGGCTGAGGGTGTCTCCTGGGCTGACCCATGCGCCTGGTTCGATCCCATCCCCCACTCCCTAGCTCAGCGCTATTTTGGCCCCGCCCCTAGCTGTGGCCACGCCCCAATCTCAAGCTGCTCCGCCCCCATCCTAGCACCACCCCCACACCGAGCGCCGACCCCACCAGTCGTGACTCCGCCCCCAGTCCAGCACCACCTCTGACCCTGACTACACCTCGGGCTCCCTGTTGTCCTGCCCCCAAGCCCAGGGTTGCTCTGTCTCCCTGCCCAGTTGCCCCTGTCCCCCAGTCCAGTGCCTGCCCTCCCGACCCCTGCGTCTCCGCAGCTCGGTGGGCGAGGTGCAGTGGGAGGTCGAGTTCTTTGCGCTGCAGGACAGCAACGATAAGCTAGCGGGTGCCCTGCGAGAGGCCAACGCGGCCGCCGCCCAGTGGAGGCAGCAGCTGGAGGCCCAGCGAGCAGAGGCTGAGCGGCTGCGGCAGCGGGTGAGGATGCCCCTCCCTGCCATGGACCCCGCTGGCCCTCAGAGCCTGCACTTCCCACCTGCTCCAGGGTCACGGGCTGGCCGTGGGCAGGTCACTTCTTGGAGCTCAGTTTCTTGTTCTGTAAAATGGGCCTGAGACTAGGAAAGACTCACCAGGTCCCCAGTCCCTAAATCCCGAGCTGCCCAGAGGAGGGTGCAGGGTCAGTGCAGGCTTGGGAATCGGGCTGAGTTTCCGGTGGGTTGCAGGTGGCCGAGCTGGAGGCCCAGGCAGCTGCAGAGGCCCCCCAAGCCAGCGAGAAGGAGGTGCCCAGTCAGGCGCTGGAGCAGCTGGAGGCACGTGTGCAAACCAAAGACCAGGTGAGCTCAGAGTGGGGTCCCCAGCCTCACCTTCCCTCACCTCCCTCTCGGCAGCCGAGGACCCCAGAACAGACACACGCACCCTTCCTCTGCAGGAGATCCAGACACTGAAGAACCAGACCATGGGACCCCGAGAAGCCTCGGACGCTGCGGAGCGCGAGGAGACACAGCAGAAGGTGCAGGTGTGTGGGGTGACGGAGGGAGGGCGGGCAGCCAGCCCCAGGGGTAGGACAGACTTGGGGCAAGTGGGATCAAGGTTGTGAAGTGGGCAGACCCCGTTAGGTACGCTCTCACACCCGTCCATTTGTGCAAGTGCTTTTGGAGTCACGCAGAATCCAGGGCTTGACCCCATCAACTATAAATACCCCCCAGCCTGGGGACGTAGAGGCCGCTCTTGAACCCAGGTCTGGTTGGCTGGGGAGCAGGCGGTGTTGGGTAGAGGGGGTGCGACCCAAAAATGGGACAGGGGGGGTTTACAGGACTCGAGGATGACTCCAAAAGCTGGGCACGCCTCCCAAGCCTGCTCGCCCTGTCCCCCCAGGACCTCGAGACACGCAACGCGGAGCTGGAGCACCAGCTGCGGGCGACGGAGCGCAGCCTGGAGGAGGCGCGGGCAGAGCGCGAGCGGGCGCGGGCCGAGGTGGGGCGCGCGGCGCAGCTGCTGGACGTCCGGCTGTTCGAGCTGAGCGAGCTTCGGGAAGGCCTGGCCCGCCTGGCCGAGGCTGCGCCCTGAGTCTGCTGTCCCGGGCCGTTCTGCGAGCGCAGGGGACAGTGGAGCGTTGGCCCTGGCGGGGACCAGGGGACCGGGCAGTCTGGGGCTGGCCGCAGCCATTGGGCTGTTCTCGAGCATTTCCCAGTGTAGTTCCAGAATCCCGGGCGCGGTGCCCGCATTACACTTCTAAGCGTGGCTGCCTGTGTGGTGTGCGGCCCCCGGTACCCCGCCGTCCTTACCGCGCCTCCTGCCTCGCCCGGCTGTGTGGCCATGTGGCCCGGAGCCTGGCTTCCTCCACATTGCTTGGTGGCCCCTGGCTCACTCCTTCATCGTGACCACGGCTCAGCGTGGGCATCAGGGACGCACCAAGGATGCAACCCTGAAGCCTCCAGTTGGTTCCAACGACAGCCAGCTGACTGAACCTGGGGAGACTGAGGCCGAGGTCGTGCCCTGGCGGCAGAGCTCCGGGTGGGTGGGCCAGCCGCATTGGGAAAGGTGAGAAACGCTGGTGGTCACCAAGCACCTGTCCTGCCGCACTCTCCAGAGCCAGAATGAGAGGCTAAAAGACCATTTATTGAGCACCTCCTGCATGTAATGCTGTCCTTCTGGGGCACCACAGGACCCCTGGAAGGTGGCCCTGGCCGGGACGATGGACGTGGAGCTGCATTCAGCCTCACAGCAGGACTGGCCCCCACTCTTGCAGCCTGAGTCCAACCAGGCTCCGGGAAGGCGCCAGCAGTGCTGTGGAGCAGGGCTCCTTGGAGGAGGGCAGGTCCCCAGGGAGGATCCTGACACCCTCAGGTCAACCACAAAGGCCCTGTGGCGCTCAGGCTGGGCCCTGGGCAGGCGAGGGTTCTCCGTGGGTCTTGGGCCGAGGTCCTCCATGACCAGCGCCGCCCGCCTTCTTCCGCTGCAGCGTCCGCTGCTTCTCGTCCTTGAAGCGCCGGTTCCTCTGCTTCATCTTGGCCAGCTCGGCCTTGCGCCTGGCCTCCAGGTCGGGGTCCTGCGCGGGGACCAGGAGGCTGAGCCGGGCACCCGTGGAGAGGCTCCCACCCTCGCTGTCCTGCGGGCCCCGCCCCACCCACCTTGCCCTCCAGGACGAGCTGCTTGCGTTTGTTGATCTCTCTCTTCTCGTCAAAGCGCGCGGCCTCCAGTTTCTGGGGGACGGGGCAGCGGTTAGGGCGCCGCACAGGACGTGCCACGCAGGAACACGCCACTGCCCCGTCCCCGTGTCCCCCCCCCCCCGGCAGCCCAGCGCCTCACTCACGATCTCGCACTCGCGCCGCACCACGCTGACCTGCGTGAGGATCCGCAGCACCTGCGCCTCCTCCACCGCCAGCTCTGCCAGCTGCTTCTCTGTGGGGACCGAGGGCTGGGAGGGCTCCGAGGGGTCAGTGGCTTGGGGTCCCACCCACCACACGGAAATGCTCCACAAGGCTGCGTCTGCCACCGCGCCCGGCCCGTGTGTCCTCCACGACAGACACAGCGGGACAGCCATGTGCCCAGTGCCCGTGCCCCATGGGGACCTAAGTCTACAGGGCTGGCTGTGCCACCTGCGCCCATCACAGAAGGGACGTGGGTGGTCATGCTACAATCCTGCAGCCCATCCCGCACAGAACCGAGAGGACCGTGTTCAGGTTTTGGGACAAAGTTTCCAATAAATCAATCAATAAACCCAAAGCCGGCACCCGTGTCCCAGCTCCCTGGGAGGCTGAGTAGGAGGAGGGAGCCGCACTCGGGGCCGGCAGCACAGGGCCCACTGGACGATAAGAGGGCTTCTGAACATTGAGGCTGGGCCTGCCTGTGGCTGTCACGTGTCCAGGCCTCGGGGACCATTTACACACTGGGGTCTGAGAAACCCAAGTCCCTCTGGCCAGGCTGATGGCCCTGTGGGGACACATGGCTCCAAGCTGCTCAGGTGTGCAGGTGGCAGGCTGCACAGGGTCGGGGGGCGGGTGGTGTCCCCAGGCGTGTAGCCCATCCAAACCCTGTCCACTCACTGATCTGCTCCTCGATGGCGTGCACCAGGTGTATGTCGTACTGTGTCACCAGCGTGATAGCCTGTCCCTGCCGCCCTGTGGGGACACCGCAGCTGCAGGACACAGGCCGGCAAAAGCAGGTCAAAATGTTTGAGGGAGGGGCTGGCTCAAGGCCACGTGGCAATGCTGTAGCCAGAACCTGCCTGAGCCTCTGGGCCAGGATGGAAGGCTAGGACTGCCCAGGAGCACAAATCCCTGAGCTCCAGGAGCACGGAATCCCTGGCAGGAAGGGGGACGGTGGCTGTGTCCCTGGCACCTGGGCCAGGGTCAGAAAGAGGTGCAGAACTTGACACAGACGCTGAAAGCAGCAGGGCTTGCTGGGGCTTCTGCCTTCCTTCCCTGAGCCCTGACGATAAAGGGGCTGGGCTGAGACACCGGGCGTGGCGGGCTGTGCAGTGTGAACCCTTTCCCCGGGGACAGCCACACACTGCCCAGTGAAGAGGAACGCCCGGCTGTTTAGTTTCCGTGGTGCTGGGCTGGAACCCAGGGCCCCGCGTGTGCCGGGCAAGCACTCACCCGAGCCGCTGCTGCCCACCCCGTCTTTGATGGTGGAAGGCAGCGTGTGCATGCTGTGTGCGGTGCCTTCCCGCCCGCTCACCTGCCCGCGCCGTGCGGCCCACGCGGTGGATGTAAATCTTGGGCAGGCCGGGGGTGTTGTGGTTGATGACCACCTGCACGGTCGGGATGTCCAGGCCCCTGGAAGAAGAGGCTGAGACTCACCAGAGCCACTCAGCAATGGCGCTGGCTGCCTGGCCTCAGAGGCCACGACTGGGGGTGTGGGGGTGGGGGTGGCACACACACCCCTGCAGGGGCTGAGCCAGGCCTGGGCCACTCACCGTGAGGCCACGTCTGTGTGGCAATCAGGATCCGGTAGATGCTGGACTTGAACTTGGCCAGAGCAGCGAAGCGTTCTTTCTGTGTGGGGCGGGGACAGACGGGAGAGTGGGGGAGGACGGCTGTGAGGGCTGGTGAGGTGGGGCGGGGGGAGGCGTGGGGAGGGGTGTGGGGCAGGGCACAACCTGCTTCATCATGGAGTGCAGGGCCACGGCAGGGAAGCTGAACTTACGCAGCATCATACACAGGACCTGGCAGGCCCTGGGGGAGGGAAAGGGTCAGTGTCCTGAGGCTGGCCTTCCCGCCCCGCCCGCCTCTGCCTCCACCTGACAGACAAGGGTGGGGGTGCCGGCTCCTGCCTGCCTCTGCCTCTGCCATCTCCCGGGCCCTCCTGGGCCGAACTGAGGAGAATCGGCCTTGAGCTGTGGCTGGAGCCCAGGGCCTTGGACCTAACGGGGCAGACTCCTGCTTCTTCTGCTGGGACTGGAGGGCCAGGAGGCAGAGCAGTGACCCACGGTCACCAGGAACACAAAGCCTGTGTGAGGTAGGTGGAGGAGCTGGCCTCAAGGCTGGGCGTGGAGGGCTGAACAGTGCACAGCTGCTTGCCACGTGCCCCGTGGACGGCCCGGACCCTCTGGCGGGTGGAAATCCTCACAACGTCCTGGCGGATGGACTGCAGCCCGGAAGGCCAGGAACCGCCAAACACAGAAGCAGCAGCTGCAGGGGTTCCCGGCTTGAGCCCTGGGCAGAGGCGGGCAGCACAGGCCCGGCAGGCTGTGGGGAGACGGCCACCACACTCACTTGCACGTGTTGGTGAAGACGACAATGGACCAGTCCTCATGCTCATCCTGGAAGGTCTGGATCAGGTGCACCAGGTAGGCGTCCTTGACTTTCTCGGCACCAGCACGTAGCGCTGGTCCAGCTGCTCCACAGTGCGCACCCTGGGGACAGCGGGTGGTCAAGCCTCAGTTTCCCTTCTGCTGCCCTGCCCAGTCTGGGGCTGACCCCGCCCATGGCTGGGTACTCACGGGGCCTGCGCCTCCCAGAAGAAGGGCTGGTTGGTGGCCAGGCCTTGCAGCTCCCTGAGGTGTCAGTCAGCGTGGCGCTGAAGAGCAGTGTCTGCCTGCGGGCAGGCACGGCCCCCAGGATGGTCTCCAGGTCCACCGTGAAGTCGGTGCAGCCCTGCTCCAGCAGCCGGTCCGCCTCGTCCATCACCTGCAGGCCAGGCGGGAGGGAGCAGGCCACTGTCCACCACTGGCCACCCTCCCCAATGGCCTTGAGCTTGCTGGGAGAGCCGCACGCCAGCCCGTCTGCCCTTTCCACTGGCTTGGCTGTGGGCTCCGGCCCCTCTCCTCAGCCAGACTGGGCGCCTGCCGTCTTCACTAGCTCCAGCCTCTATTTTTTCTTTTACTGGGGTTTGAACTTAGGGCTTTGTGCTTTCCAGGCAGGTGCTCTGCCACTGAGCCATGCCCTCAGCCCCCAGGCTGCTCCTCGTACTTTTCCTGAGCACATGAACCAGAGCCCAGCCTGAGGTGGGCGAGGGTCACCAGGCCAGCTCACCAGGAAGCGGATCTTCTTTATACTGAAGGTGTTAGAACTGCGCAGGTGGTCGGCCAGGCGCCCTGGCGTGGCGATGACCACGTGTGGCTTCCGGGACAGCTCTAGCGCCTGGGTCACCATGTCTGGGGTGAAGGGCAAGAGGTGAGGACGGCTGAGGGGCTTGGAGGCTATGGGGCTCCCATGCCCAGGGCTCCCCCCTCCCCCGAGCCTTACCCATGCCGCCTACGATGATACAGTCCTTCAGGCCCAGCGGCTTCCCCAGCACCCGGAACTGCTCTGCGATCTGGTAGGCCAGCTCCCTGCGGGCAGGAAGGGCCGCTGGGGTTGGGGGTGCTCAGCGCTGCCCCCCACTCCTCCTGCCTCATTCTCCCTCCCAGTCCCAGTATCTTCTGCACAGAGGGATGCTAAGCACAGGAGCCTGCTATGGGCTCAGCCCAGAATGCTCAATGGCCACTCTTCCTTCACCCCAAACCTGTCCCTTCTCCCATGTCCCCTGCCCCGCCCGGTCAGCCACCCCAGCCAGGGCCCCAGCCATCAGCATCCCTTCTCCCAGACTGGCCGGTCTCCAGGCCTTGGCCTGGCCCCGTCCTCAGAGTCATTTCTCCCCTCGCCTGGCGCTGGAGGCCATGTTCTCACTGGCTGTAAATCCCAGTCCCCAGCGCCCTTTCTGAC